ATATAAAACAAAGGCTACTTTTTGATTGTATTAATTTTTACTTGATTGTATTGATTTTCGCTGAGAAGATTGAAACTCCTAATATCAGTCAGAACACAGCCGAGTTTTAAGTGAATATTCAGGTTCATGAAATAGTTCTCAACTTCAAATTATTAGTTTGTGAGCACAAACTCTGGAGTAAAGCAATTTTTTTAAGCGAGTGTTTCCTTTGGGGGGCGGGGCGTGGCAAATGACGTCAAAGGGGGCAGGTCCAGAGTTCATATTTATTGGCTCCCATTTCCTTTAGCCGTTTCTTGAGGACCTGAATCTGACAGAATGAGTGGATTATAGATTGGCTTATTTTACTAATTACCTAACCTTTTCAATTAGCTGAGTCTTCTTTGTTAACCAGTTAATCCCATTTCAAAGGAAAATATGACGGCTAATTCGACAACCGCGTTAAACTATCTAATTTTTTCTCAAAATGGAGTCGGGGATGGACAAACACACTACGACCAGGGGCTCGTTGTGCCTGAAGTCGCAATGGGAGCCACTGTAGATTCTCTTCATTCGCCTAAGGATCCCTACAAGCAACGCCCGACGAATCTCGCAGTGACCGCATCGAATGGATATGTTGCAAAAAGCCTCCAGGAGAGCAGCGACGAAGGCTCTCTGCCATGCACTCCAGCGCAGCAAGACAGTGAAACCGTCGCGTCTGCTGTACGTGCGAGCAACCAAGTGCTGGATAACGACACAATGGAGCTTATTGGCAGTTTTCTAAGAAATTTTACAGGACTTTCAAAGTGTCGGTGGAGTCAAAATAAAGCTCTATCTACGATGAAAAGGGTGGTGGAGGACGTTTTGTCGAAGCACAGATATGCATACAATGGTAAGTAGGCGCCATTGTAGGATTTTTCCACAGTTGAGTCATAGCCTGCCTCACCCACAGGAAATATTTACAGTGTATATTTTATAAAACAGGATGCATGTTTAAAACAGCTGTTTTGGCCATCGTTAGCCTTTTTTGGCCCTTATAGACGTTCAAGGAAGTGATACTTCATTTAAAATGTACCCGTTCTACTTGTTATGCAATTAAGCGGAAGTAAAAAGTAACGACATAAATGCTTCTCTGACCGTAATCGAAATGGATCTCTGACTCCAAGTTATTTCTTTTCCTCTCAGGTATGCTCAACAGGCTTGCTCTGGATAACCAGCCGGACAATATGGGGTTTGTTACGGAAGTAGCACAGAATCTCTTTTCAGACGGGACCACCAACTGGGGTCGGATCGTCAGCCTGGTGGCGTTCGGGGCTGCAGTGTGTCAGCACCTGAAGGAAAGGGGCAGAGAGCATTGCGTGGAGCTGGTGATCCAGGAAATATCCACGTATCTCCTGGAAAACCAGCGGGACTGGCTAGCAAAAAACAACTCATGGGTAAGTTATTGCAACACACTGCTGGCTCACTTTGAGAACCTTCTGTGGATTTGAAACTAATGTATTTTTTGTTTTTGTTTTCAGGAGGGCTTTGTGGAGTTCTTTAGAGTATCAGATCCTGAGTCTACAGTGAGGAACACGCTGATGGCGTTTGTTGGGGTCGCTGGTATTGGGGCAACATTAGCCTTTCTCATCAGGTGAATTTGTTGGACTTTGAGACCTTTATGAACTCTCCTGTCTCCAGTTTCTGTTTTGGACTCTGAAATGGAAGTTTAACTTTGAATATCATGTTTTTTTTTTTTTTTGTTTGTTTTTTGTCTTTTGTAAAAAAACATTTTTGAAACTTATTTATGTATGAATAAATTTATTTTTCTAATGACATTATATTGTATGTAAAATTAATGATTATGCTATTATTTAGCACATTTTTAATTTAAATCTTTTTTGGGGGATGGGGGTGGGGCAATCTGTTTACAACTAAAATTATTTGTGATTTTATCAAACATTTTTAATGAAACCACAGGCCAAACCAATAGAAACTAGCCATTTATCCATAGCATTTTGCAGGAATGACACCCATTCCTTGAAAACTTTTGAGCATTTGGACTTTTGTCTGGATAGTTCACAAACGTTCGGGGTAGAGGGATTGATTTGCACATAGTATGTCGTTGTTCAAATTACTGTGTCCAAGAGACACCAATTGCTACATTCAGATTTAAGCTAAAAGCATATGTACAGAATAATAAAACAAATTAAACTAACTGTTTGAACTTTTGATAATGTCTTTCTGAACAGGCAGTCTTGCTTAATCACATTAAACAACCAATAGGATATGTGCTGTAAATTTCTGACACTTTATGGGTCAGAAACCTCTGTTTATTCACACCACAACCAATATAGCGCTTGCTGCAGTTTCCTCGAAATTTGAGCACCTCCTATTTGACTGAGCTCAGGGTTGCATCTGCAGTTTTGCACGTTGCAGAGTTTTTTTTTTTATGCAAAGCTGGTGCACAAGCTCAAAGTGCTGAACTGGGGTCAAAGGGGTTCAAAACATCTTCAGAGTTGCATAACATCCACATCCTGATTCAGACAGGCTTCAGCTACCTAGAAACCGATGACTTAAACATGTTTTATTGGTTCCAACCAAGGATTGAGATTCTGCTCATTAATTCTCTGGCACTCTTAATATTTTGTTTCCACCACATCAAGCCTCTAGCAGGGAAAACCATGGTGATGGTTTGGGACTTCACCTTGTTTTCAGATCCTGCAGTAGTCTATGGTTACAGAACAAACATGACAGTGGAGGACATGAAGGGGAGACTCTCCATGGAGACGATTCACAGCTGGCCTTCTCTGGTTTACTCCTGTGAATAATGATGTTGGTTACGTTCTTAGTTACCTGTACATGGCTCATTGAAGAAAGGCTGTTTTGCTCAGGGGAGATCTAAAGGCTGAGGCAAATTCAAATTGCTGTTTGCAGCATTTACCAAGAGGATTGGTTGTACAGAAAGCAGGGAGTGCCATAAAGGAACAGGAAGTTATCCAGGAAGTTAACACTTTTTATTATTATTATTTTTGTTTGCTTGTTAGTAAATTAAATTTCTTCTGTGAAATTCTTACAGAAGTAAATAAAAAAGATGAGAAGTTTATCTAGATATTGTCTCAATTTCAGAAGAGAATTCTGCTCTAGTGACTCAGTGAAAGAAGACGAAACTCAAACTGGTTTGGTCACAGATTAAATCTTTTGTTTCCAAACCTGAACTCCAACTAATTGAAAATCTTCTGGGAAACCTCTTTAAGCAAATTGGCATAATCAAGGGTATTTTTGTGCAGTTTCTGTTCTAAATGTTAGTTGCTTGCTTTAAAAGTGTAGATCTGTTGTGGTTTACCAGACTTATCGAATTGAACTTTGCAGCTTCTGAACTATGAGACAGGCGCAGCTGCAAACCGAAAGGCTTTAAAGCAGGTAACTGCATTCCTTTCACGGGATGGTTTTAAGGGAGTGGTTTTAAAACTACTCTCTGCATACAAAAGGCATATCTGCAAAGATAAAGAAGCCCAAGACTAAATTGGCCTTTAAGAGTACAGAGTTTCTTTGAGAATCTGTTTGCTTTACTAGGGAAATGTGTCCTGATGCATGAGAACATATCTGCAGGAACAGGAGTTACTCTTAGTTCTGAAAACTAATGGCTCCATTTCACCATTCTATTGCTCAAATGTTCTGTTCAACGGCTTCTTTCTCAGAACTGAAACCTGATACCGGGGAGGAACCGCCTTTTGAGCGTGGGTATTGGTTGTGAGCAAGTCTGCCTCCCTGTAGCAACAGCACGCCCTTCTGTTTAAAAAAAGCACCAGTTTCTGGGAAGTCAGCTGACGCACGAGTTAATAGTTAAACAGAAGTAATCTATAAGTTTGGCGTCAAAGGCGTCCAATACTGAGAACTGTGGTTCTGAGATGAATAGATAGGGCTAAGTTTTCACAACTTTTAGCTGTGCTGTGCGAAGAAGAGGCAGAGCTGAATGTCAAAACTTTTTGGAGCTAGCTCCTTTACAGAAGTAGACCTCAAGCCTCTTATTTAAACACTGACTCACTGTTGCAGCTGTTTTGTTTATATAATCATGCAGAGAGCTCTGAATATACCTGCTTATTCCAGTTAACAAAGGTGCCTTTTAGTAAAAATGTTCAAATGTTTTAAGGCATGCATGTGCTCAGTGTTTAGTGTTACTGTGTGGGGCAAACAGTAATTACTGTGACTTCTAATCTATTTTGCACTTTCAAGGCTTATTTTGCAGACATTGCAGCTCAACTCCAGCTTATGTTCACATCTTTGCAAACCCAAATGTCTTTTTGGACAAACATTTGCAGGGGCTTCCTTGTAATGTATTTGTCCACTTGAGAAGCTGCATGTTTTATAATTTATGCAAATTTTAGACTTGAGCAAAAACAGTACCTCAGTTAATGGAAATCCAACCAACATAACGGTTATTGTTGGGGCTGCTGCATTTTTTTTACGAAGGGGATTTCAACAGTTTGGCACTGATTCAAGGCCAGGACCAAAGATCAGATAAGCCCTTAACTTTGGAATTTATGACATGATGTTGAAGATATGATGCGTTTTACTCAAATTCTACTTGTAGATATTGTAGAAAGTAATCAAAATATATTCTTCCATCCAATATAGAGAGATGAATAGTTGGCACCACACCAACTATTCATCTATAAAATATAACATTTAGGCATGGGTTGATAAAATGTAAAATGTTAATTTGCACTAGTTTTCAAGTGCTTGATTTGTAGAATATCTTTGCTAAACTTTTCCCATTTTACTCTTAATGTAGCATAACTTTCAAATTAGCATGGGTTTCCAGCCTACAATTAGCTGCATACTAGATATCTTGCAAGCAGGTTATGAACTGTAGTATTTAAACTGATACCATAATAACTAGAGCTGTCACAATCACACTTGAGTACCATTTTGGTAGCATATATTATATAGACGTCAGTCATTGTTTCATATCCATATTTGACCTGTCTTGATGTATATTTTTAATACTAGAACACAGTGTGATGCATTCTAGTATAAGAAAGTGTTGGTTAGTTGTATTAAAAAGATGCAATTTTCAGCAATCCTACCATAATTCCATACTTTAATATGATGCAGCCCTTTTAATAGTATTTATGCATAACAGCCCAATTAATTAGCATACATTCCAGGATAGTTCAGCTTTATTTCAACACAAAATTTGTGTTTCTATTAAACAAGAGAAAATACTATATTAGCCTTATTTCAGCCAGCTTACAGGCCACGTGCAGCAAAAAGTTATAGAGCAACATTGGTTTACTCTGTGCTCCACACAAACATTTAATACGGTAAAGTCTGGGACTTTATCATATTAAATGGATGTCAAACCTCAAAAAAGAATTAAAAAATCTTTTGCAGTTTTGAAAATATAACCTGTTTGCTGCGTATGCCGTTTCAATTCTGATTCAGCCTATTCAGTTACAAAAATGAATTCATGATTGGGGTCTAAACAATAATTGGGTTTGGTGAAATGAGCAACAACATCATGCTTTTCTGATTATACTGAAGTTCTTTGTTGGGCGCTGGACAGTAAGATGTCTTCAAATCCACCATCAAAGTGATTTGGATCAATAAAGTTCATTGTTGGTTCGCACTGCGAGAACAAAAGCCTTAAACATGAAGGCAAGAATAACTGGAGATCAGAGGTCAAATGACTCCCATTCATCTGCAGCTCAGTCTGAACTCTTGAACATTAGGCTCCTTTTGGTGAGTTGATACTTCAGCTAGGATCAAATTCTAGGTGATGTGTCATGTTCCTGTCAAAGTAGAGTCATCGTGTCTCTTGAAACTTTATTCCTTGACTGATGACCATAGTGCCGTATAACAGATTGTCTCTTCGTGTTGGCAGTTGTGACGTATTGGCTGGTCTTAATAACTACAGCATGAGAACATGAGATCTTTGATCAGTCTGTCCATATCACTGGTTGGGTGATATATGGGTGATACATTTGTTACACCTACCATTTAAGCTGATTTTAGAGCTAAGCAATTAAGCAAAGTGATGCACAATGCAGTAAGTTTTAAACCTTGTTCAAAATTGGGAACAAGTTTGAAATATTCAAGTTTCAATGTTTTTCCCCTAACCTTCTCTTGAACTGCCTTCCGGCTTCATGCAAATCTTATGCAAAAATCCTTTTGCCAATGAATGTTTCATTGAGTTCTTATCATGTTTGTAGATTTCGCTGAGAAAGCATCATAACTTTGCAGTGTTCTCATGATATAAAAGCAAACTTTCATTTGGGTGAAGTTTGAAATATTTAGAGAAATATCTGGTCTTCACAGATTGTCAGATTAATTTAAATAAGTGAACACAAACACATAGAACATTATATATATATATATATATATATATATATATATATATATATATATATATAAAATTATTATTATTAAACTAAGATGGATCCTGAAATATTGCTCTGCGACAGACTGGCGACCTGTCCAGGGCGAACCCTGCCTTGCGCCTGAAACGTTCGCTGGAGATGGGCGTCAGCAACCCTCCTGACCCCACTAAGGGACAGTGGTGTACAGAAAATGGATGGATGGATTGTGAAATAGAAAAAACAAGGTGTTATGTCAGTTCATTGAGGTTTTGGAGCATTTGCTTCTCATGAACTCTCCACCACTGCTTTTCTATCAGATTAATATCTAGACTTTGACAGGGCAGTTGCAAAACGTTCTTATCTATTTCTGCTTTTCTATGTGTTCAGGATTATTGTTGCCCGGTAAGTTTGCCCCTGCCGTCAGACTGACTGCCTCATTTTTGACTCAAGAGTTAGGTGCCTACGTCCAATTGTTGCAAAACAAGCCCAAATCATCAGCCTTCCACTACCATGCTTGATGTTTTAGGTGTTGGTGCCAGTATGCTGCTCTTTGTTTTAATCCAAACTTGACTAGTAATATAATGACCAAAGTGGGAATATTGGAGCACACGATGGAGTGGCTTCTTTTTATTAATGTCTTTTCGAACTTCATGGTTTAAATTTTGGGGTGAATTTTTTCACCATCTCATAGAAAGACTGACTGCTGTGTACAGTCTTTGTCATTGGCGAATACTGAACTTTTGGAACCTATGATACAATAGAACCTCATCTATTCACAGTTCAGTAGTCACAGATTTTTCTATGTAACATATCTTTATATTATTTGAAACATATCTCTATATAATTTGTGGAAAATTCAGTTTTCTCCTT